AGAGGACATCACCTTTCTAGTTCTTGTTTTCACGTTTTGATTTGCTTGCAATAGGACGTTATGTAACTCATAAACGAAGTGGGAGTTAGAAAGCTCAATTATCCTATTTGCTCAGAACAGCGATGCATTTTACTCGTGTTGATGGTGTAATTCTCTCTTGCTTGGTGATAGAGCCAATCATTGCGTTGCGCATAAATAATATAGCGAATAATCAAATGGAGAACACGATTCTCCATACAAATGCAACCTTCACGGATGGTATTCTTCGAGCGAAGACGTTATCTCTGTCCTGTAAAGCGCTGGAATCATGCTGCCGATCGCGGTGATTCGCAAGCCGCGTGCTCCGCGGAAAAGCGAACCCTCAGGTTTTCTTCATAAACAGTGTGGCTATTACTCGAGTAAATACGGTATTTCGTATTTTTAGCGGTGGGGGGTGTACGCTTTTACCCTTTCTGGCAAGCAGGCCGTCCATACTAAGAACATATACGTTTAATCTAGTATTAGCAAACAAAACATATACTTCAAGCATATTTTGCGAAGTGTGTACTAAAAATACAAAATTAATATAGTTTCTGTAAACTGCTTTTTTTTTTTTGTCAAGGGAAGCATGTTACACACGTTCGTGGCATACTACGTTATCGCCATCGCTTCCTGATGAGAAAAAAAAAATCAAACAAGAGCACGGCATTTTGTCTTTTACAGTTCTGTTTCCTCTGTTTCTTGCTGCGTATTCATGCGTCTCTTTTTATGACCGTTGTCTGCCTAAGCTCAGTGACATTTCCTTCCGTTATCTGCGGCCGTATGACGATAAATGAAGCTCCCTGTTTGCCTAAGGGTTGTTTGAACAAAATGACGTTGAGTCATTCATGCCTTCTGCCTTGCCGAATGGAAAGCGCCGCATAAACAAGGACGAAGAAGGGGACAGAGACGAAGCGCACTCTCAACTGAAGGTTTATTGAAACAAACATTGACTACTAATACCGTCTATCTGAGTGATGGCTGAAAAAGAAAAACTCTTTATCTGTTAACTGCAGTGACGGCGCACTTATACACAGAGACTCTCCCGTGGCTCTCTTATGCGGAATGCCTCATGCATTTCTCGCGCTGTTTTGTTTGCGTATCTGCCCACAACTGTTGTTTTTTCCACTTCTGGGCCACATGGGAACCTATAGTGCACCGCAAGATTGCCCGACGGGGACTGTTTCACTGACCAGGCATGTTCCCTGGCCTCTAATTTAACCGTTTGGCCCACATACGATTTCCCGCAACTCATTGGTATGTTATATACCACTGACGTTGCACACTCCACGTATTTCATAGCGTGTTTCTTTTGACCTACTTTACCCACTCCATTTTTGTTGTTTATTTATGAACATAGATGAGACAGCTTGTGCGGCGCTGAAAACACCACTGGAACTTCAAAATGAGCCGCCACTTTTTTTAGATTGTGAGATGGATTGTGAATCTAAGGAAGCACCGCCGGTCTTTTTAGTTGTCTGGAAGGAGTATAATCGTCATCCTTTTTCTTCATCTTGGAAACAAGGTTATCCGTTACTTCCCCCAAAAAGCGGTCGGGGTACCCTCCGCGTTTTAGACGATTCACCTGCGTGAGGAAGCTTTCATCCGCGACATGATGGCATGATTTTGCCAGCGAGGCTCTCATTAGGCACGATGCTGTTCCCCTTTTAGCGAGTTTGGATTGCACAGGATTGAAGGGCAGAACCCCTTTCTTAGTTCGCGGCTCATATTTCCAACAAACATGGTCACCTTCGAAGCCGGGGCTCAAATCCAAAAACTGCAGCCTTCCCTTCGTCATTGTTTCATGGGTGAACGTCAATCCTAGTGAATTCAAGTTAAAACAATCCAGCTCATGTTGTTGATTAAATACATACTAACAATAACAGACTTCGGGGCAAGCACCAAGATATCATCCACATACCGACAGATTGTGAATTCCCCCAATCTTTTAATATCCTTACGTATTCCCTTTCAGCCAAAAATATATCGCAGAGCACTGGCGCAACACGGGAGCCGATACATATGCCTCGCTTTTGAACGTAAACACCATTTCCAAAGGACACAAAGGTTGAGTTAAGGTAGCATTCTAGTAACTCTAAAAAAGACTCCACACTTACTCCGCTCGAATTTCTAAAGCTTATTTCATCGTTTTCTTCAATGCACTTTTTTACCGTTGGGAAAAAGCTTGTCATGCGGGATGGAATAGAAAAGGTCCTCCACGTCAATAGAAAAGCCTCCGCCGTAGGACTGGTCGCCCTTCGCCAAAAATTCTATGACAGCCTCCGAGTTCCGCTCCAGGGATGGGTCACTCAATTCAAGGCCGGCCAACTGCCTACTGAAAAAGCCCCCCCCCCCCCCCCCCCCCCCCCCCCACATCTTTTTGCCACGTATCCCTTTCCGTTACGATCGCTCTAAACGGACAGTTTACTTTGTGGGTCTTGACAATAAAGAACACATGTAGACTAAGTTTTCTTTTAATTTTTTTTTTTAGGTTTGTATCTTTTTCGCAAGCTGGCTCAGCTGCAGCCTGACATACAGAGGCCTGGCAGACGTTTTGACTTTGCTGAGGGATATCTTGTTCACTTGCGTGAAGTTCTTGAGGATGGCGATGGGGTGGGACTTTTCACCTAAGAGCCCCTTTGGCAGAAACACGAGACCTGCCTTTTTGTCCGCGGTCAGAAGCTTGAGCTGGTTCTACCTGAAGTATGTCACCACATCGCGTGTCCTTAACGTCTCTCTCCTCGGTGATTTTCTTGCGTGCCTGCGCTCCTCCAAGGAAAAGAACTTCGTTGGGTGACGGAGCACTTGCTTTCTTCTTCCTTGGCAAAGCGACCAACAGCTTTTCCCACATGAACTCCAAGGTTTGGAACGCCAGTCTCAGATGTTCTCCGTACACCTTCTCAGCTGTCCTTGCAGTGGGACTTGATTGATAACACCAAATCCCTAAGCAGTCTCAGTATCTGCCCACTTGCTTCCAGACTTCAGATCTCAGAATTTTGTAGATCCTTTTTGCATGTCCGGCCGAGGGCAAAACGCGGTTTTCCTTTGCACTGTGAAGGCTACGAATGACGCAACGCTTTTCGATTGAGAACCACTATTCACACATCCCCGAAGAGTAGGGGTGTGCGAATTAATATCGGTCACTTCAAGTTGGATAGCGCCTTGTTATTCCTGTCTTCAATCATAGCCTCCTATATATACTAACAAAGCCTGGCAGATCGCAACGAGAAGCGGCCGCCATGGAAAAGGTGGAGCGGCAGACAAAGGATGAGAGGATAGCCACACGGGACTGGCGCCCCGCTGCGGCGAGATGCCAAAACACACTTGTCCCAAGCGAACAAGTGTGTTTCGGGTCCTCGCCGCTGCAAAAGATGTGCGCTGACGTCCAGTTTACTTGAGAAAATGGCTATTAGATGCTCTGTGCTACCATATCCTCGCGCTCTAAATCTGCGACCGGGCACTCTATGGCTCTGTCGTTGAACTGCCAGGCTTCGTGAGTGTAGAAGAGGCTATGCTTTAACAGGGTGTCAAAAGATCCCGTATGTCGTGGTTTTTCTTCTTGCCGTGGAATGGTATGAGCGATGCAGAACTCTTCAATTTCAATCACTATCCGTGCACCTTTCACTAAATGCTTTAGCGACAAAACACAAGTAACATTGCGGATCGATTACCTACATATACGTTTTCGAGGACCCCGTATACAGGGTGTTTCACCAAAGTGGATAATATGTTTTATGTAAAAACTATGCATCGCACAGTAGTAAAATCCATGCTGCAATAGTCACATGTCAAGGGGCCTATTTATTGAGTTACATAGCGTATGGAATAATTAAGTTTTTAAATAGTTTTGCAAAATTACAACTCTTAAACTAGCATACACATACTGTTACAGTTATAAACGTACTGGGTATAATGAAGAACCTGTAAATCAGTAAATTCTATAGAATACTTTGGAGCGCGTGCCTCATTTTGCGGGCCCCGACATGCATTATTCTTTTTATACTCTACCGACGCGCCCGCGCGTTTTTTTTTTTTTTTTTTTCAGTTTCTTAATATTTGCATTTTTCGCTCCCACTAGCGTTAATCCCGTAGCGCGACATTCGCGGACCACTATGCTTTCCACGCGTTTTCACAAATCTACTGATTTAGTGGTTTTCAATGGCGCTTAGCAAAGTTTCAAACTGAAACCGTATACTTACATTTTGCTACTCAAAACGTTAATAAGAAAAGACCAGTTAAGAGCTTCATTACCCGAAACGCTATGCACCTCAATATACTGATAGATTTTCTACACGGTGCGTATTTCTCAAAATAAAATTATGGCCGATGTGCAGTCACACGCCGATTTGTTTGGTTTGCAATAATACGCGACGGCAAAAGGAGTGCGAATTATTTCCGAATAAATAAATACACGTTTTCAGTTGACCGCTTCATAGCTGTATGCCCAAAGTTAATTTCACAGACTATGGTTTCATTGTTTCGCCACATCTGCACAAACGTGACAAAGCGACGGACACTTTTGCACACCGGCATTGCATACTGACATCTTTTATATGATCAACCATCTTTGTGTCGTTTGTCCAGAAGAATTTCGTCGTTGCTTCTGCCAGCTCGTAAGATTGTACTTCAAAGCGAAGATTAGAATGCCTTCAAAACACAAAGTAGCAAAACATTGCAAATATATATATATATATATATATATATATATATATATATATATATATATATATATATATATATATATATATATATACAGAAAGAGAGAGAGAAAAAGGTGGAGAGAGAAAGAGAGAAAGAAAGTGAGAGAGGGAGAGTAAGATAAAAACATATTGCATAACTCCTTTTTTTAGTTTTCAATGAATTTTCGGTTTGCTTTATTGAAGTCGTAGATACCCAAGCTCCACAGCTTCTGTAGAGCGCGGGTATCCAACCGTTACGTTTGCAAAAATTACGGAACCACAGTACCAAACTACCAAACAGAATTCATTTGCTTTCATGTTTATTCCGGGAAACACGGTGTCTAGTGAATTCAAACAGGTCTATAACTGTACAAGTAGAATGGACCAATCTATAAACGCATGCCGGAATAAGATTTCCCCCCGCATCTCTGCTGGTGAAATGCCAAGTTGCTAGGAAGGTCGTAGACCGCATTCCAACACAGATTACTTCTGGGTGTTCATTGATGATCACTTCGAGCAAGCGGCCAAGCGCTCTGGTGCCATTGACGTATCTTTTGCGCAAGGGTCAACTGATCATAGATGACTGGAACATTTTTTCAGAGCCAGGCTTGAAAATATACCGCGAACACGGGAACAACTCGGTGTCGATGCTTCAAACAGTGCCTTTAGAATAATCTGTAACACTTTCTAGACAGTCCACCAAAAGAACACACGCTGAGAGGGTCTTTGAAGTCTAGAGTCCGAGGTGGTGTGGTTCCACGAGGTCCAAAGCTGTTGTACCCGTTGAAGACAAGAGCCACAGGTATTCCAGTAAACGGTGAGCCACAGGCCTTTCAAAAGGAAAAACACTGCGTCTTTCAAAGACGTGAACCAATGTCTGCAAACGGGAACCCCTGGTTTTCAAGGGTCCGAGCCGCACTGTTCTCTAGCCTTTTTAGAGAAGATCAGTCACTCTTCCAGTATAGGCACATGTTTTGTAGTCCGTAGACCCTCAAGAAAGAAGTCTTCAAATAATCAGAGCCACAAATTACTGTACCCTAAGAACAAGGAGCAATGTCTTCTATTGCTCCAGCCGCAGGTATCCTAGTCTGAACAGAAGAGCCTCATGTCTTCTAGTCTTTGGGGACGTTAGCCATAGACGTCTCCTTCTACTTAGGATCGCGACCTGGATGCTTGAGCGGATTGTGGCGTGGCCAGGAGAGACGAAGAGTATGATTCGTTTCTTGAGGAGGTATGGGACGTGGGCAAAGACGTCCTCGACGTCGCTGCAGGCGGTAATGACGTCTCGGTCCTGGCCCTAAGAGCGCTGGCTGCCGTGTCCCTCTTTACGGTCGTGAAGTGCGCGTTGTCGTACGACCTAGAGTAGTCATCCGCTGGCGCCAGGATGTCCAGGTTGCGATAGTTCCTGGACTGTTGATTCTCCCGGTTGTCCGTGTAAGGAGCGTACAGCTTGGGCAGAGGCAGAGACCGGGAACCAATCCGAGACCTGGACAGTTGCTCGCACCTGCGACATGAGAGAGTCGTATGCGCTATTAGTTTCAGGCTATAGTCATATACGTCAGTCTCTTGTAAGTTGAAAGTGGAGCTTATAATACTTTGGTAAAGCACTCATAAAAAAAACAAAAAAAAACAATATCTTGAAACAAAGACGAGAATTACTCTTTAGCTTCCCAGACGAACCATCGGAAGTTGGCTTTTTTCGAAACTTTTATGTAACATTTTATATAAAATAAGCTTGTTCTTAATATATATAGTTTCGTCGCCTTCGTGAATTAGATTTGCGTGTTAGTAATGTTTTATTCGATTATTCATTCTCCATGTCACCCGGGACTTGTATATGCGTTTAATGACGTGTGCATACGTATTACTACTGTCTATAAGTACGTGTGAGACGTGCGTGTGTATGTCTATGCGTGTGTTCCAACACACGTAAACACAAATAGCCGTAGCCACGCTGTCGACAGATTCATACCCAATATGCGTGATACATACTGAGAAGCACCCTCCTTCGAGTCTATAACGCATAACCTTAAACCTCAAAGAACGGGGAATTTAAAATGAAGAGAACGTCACGGGGTGTTTCCGCGTTTTTTTTACCATCTTGAAAGTCCGACCGCAAAGGGTCTTTGACCAACATAACGCATGTAACGTTCAAATTAAGTAATATCTTGTCACCTTTTCGGGCTCAGCTTCATCCATACACATACACTTTACACGCAACACGCACGTCATACGGTCTACAAACAGAACGAACATACGCAGACGCCTTGATGAAACACGATTCGGGAACCACGACCGCGTTGGCTGGTCCCTCGCGTTTTAGAGACACCAACTTGAAGGCAACATTTTTTTTGTAGAACCAACCCTGCATTTATTAGGTTTCCAGATACGTTTGAACGCTCCGTCTTGCCTGTCAATTTTCAACACAAAACTCAATCTCTCGGGCTGCATGCAGAGTATCCGATATATGCATTGGCACACACAACAATTATTCGACTGCGTCGCTAAAACAACCGCAGAAAGCGCTCCATATGCGGCTATCCAAAAAGAACCAAGCGCGCAACATCATAACGAGTACCAACACGACCGAGAAAGAAAGCCGTAGCGTATGCCGAGGGCCAGCGCGGAGCGCCTATGGGATACGAGTGCTATCGTCAGCGTTCGGTCTTGCGCCTCGTGCCCAATCAACGCGTCGAGGGACGGTGGGCACCGGGCTCGGGTCCGATTGCTGAACTGGCACCGATCCGACAGTGATGACGTTCCACGGAGGACGTTTGGGGGTCCTTGAATATTGTAGGTTGTGTTGGCTGCACGCGAACACGTTACTCGTGTGGCCAGTGTGTGACCCGCGATGGGACCTCAGTGCATCACGTGTAAATCCAGCACTACGGTAATAGAGAGTTTTAGTAGATGGTGTTTTCAGGCCACGCTATCTGTAGCGGGAGCTCGCGCGGCCACTTCGATGCATGCTTTGTAGCGCGCGCCCGTGCCTTTGAATACGATGTACTAAAACTCCCTAACGTTGGCATGAACCCCCCCCCCCCCCCCCCCCCCCCCCGATACAGCAACACTGTTTACAAGCCCGCATTTGTCCACACCTAATGTAAACAATGCGCGTGCGCAAAAAAAAAAAAAAAAAGTTTGCGTGAGGAAGCGTCTGCGCATGTGCAGTATGCCGATGACAGCGCCGCCGCCGCTGCCTTCAGAGAGTTGGTGTATACGTCCCTCGTATGCTTTTACATAGTTTAGGGATATAAGAAAAGGGGCTTCGATCGGTGAGAACACTCGTCATGGCGAAAATGAGCGTGTTTAGATTATCATTGTGTCGTTATCATTAGCGGAGTAAGTGACCTTACTGGAATGATCTTAGTCGAGATAGGCAACAAATTAAGCAGTCCTTGGACTAATTTAATCAACTGTCACCAAATTATAAATCTCAACCTTCCTAAATTGCAAAAAAAAAAAAAGAGACATCATGATAATAAAAAAGAAAAAAAAAAGTCGTTTTTACTTTGTGCTGAACGCCAAGGGACACTTGGTGGTTGTTTATTTCGCTGCAAAACGTTTGAAGCTTTTACGAAAACTCGAATTCCCTTTCGCAAACAGCGATACGGAATGAAGTAAGCTGACGCTAAACTACATAAACAAAAATGCAAACATGTTTTTTAGCAGTTTTACAAAGCAAAACGTAAGAAGGATGAGCTAAAAAAGCTCTTAGCGTCAACAACTGCGGCAACGACACTTTATTTATTTATTTATTTTTTTTTCGCAGGGGCGGGTTGCGGTTTTTTGGAAGCCTAGAAACTGTTACCTAGCCGCCCCCCCCCCCCCCCCCCCCCCCCTGATTCTGTAGCGGGTGCGGCTGGGTACACATTCACGTGAATGGCTTCTTTGATTGATGTAAATGCGAACACGAACCGTCGCGTCGCAATTTCTCTACATTTATTGAGAAAAGGGGACACGCGAATGCGTCTAACAATAACTCAAATACGTAGCCGTTTTTTTTCTCTTTTTTTCTTAAGAAAGGGGGGGACGTCAATCGGGAGAAGCAAATTTTAGCCGGCACAACTCGGGTGAGAGCCTCCAGTTTCACAACTTCACATCGCCTGTAACATTTGCAACATAGCACACATTCGTAACTTTTGTAGCATTTGTATAACATAACACAGTGCATGTAACATTTGTAACATGACACAATGCCTGTAACAAAGTTTCACAATGCATATGACAGGGATACAGACTCTGCCTTCTCGTTGACCTCGCTGTGGAACAAACAATAAAACAAAAAGCGCTGCTGGGTTTCGAGCTTGACCTTTACTGCTTTCTCTTTTCTTTTTTTTTTTTTCTCCTGTAGTCACCGATAAATTTAGAAGCGCAGGTGGCAAGTAACAAGAATCTTATTGTCGCTACACATATTTCGGCATGAGGTGATGCCGCAATCCGAAACCTCGCGAAAGTTTGAGTGACAGTTGGTTTGTCCGGTCACAATGAAGAAGCGCACGCAGGTGCCGAGTTGAGCGCTACAAGTGGGCCGGGCTCGGTGCACTTCCAAGCGAGGTGACCCGGAAAAATCGATAAGACGCGGAGGTCTGGACGTCCCGATAACTGGCATATCTCTCAAGAGCGACTCCACACACGTTTGGTCCGTCGCTGGCCTTCTCGCGGACGAACGAGGAACCAGAGGAGTGGGGACGGCGGCGGAGTCGGTGGCAGGGACTGTGGGCCTTGATACTGCTGCTATTGCATGGTTCTGGACGGTCTGCACGGGCATCCATGAAGTTTTAACAACTAAAAAAAAAGCGAATGCGTTCAAAAAAAAAAAAAAAAAATCGTGTAACGCTTCGCATGTTTGAAAAAAAAAAGAGAAAAAATACTCAACATGTTTATTTTTTTAGCCCACGTCAACATCTCCGTTACACGCGATACGTTCCTGCCGTGACCGCTTCGTATTTGTAACTGAACAAATTAATTTTAGCACGCTGACCAGCGTCAACGAGCAGGCGCAGGGGAAATCCTGGAGAATCTATTCTCGTCTCTTCCGCCACCTTGAAACTCCCGCTCCGCCATCTATAAAACACTGGAGTAGCGAATACTCCTTTTCAGCTTCCGATAGACCGCCGGTGTCACTACGAACCAACAAGGTCAGTCCGATGCCATATGAGCGTCACGTGACCTTCCGCCTGATGACGTCATCAAAGTGTTATGCTGTCGCCCGCCGCGACCCTGGAGGCGTCACATCAGCTGTGGTGTAGTGGCAGACGCCTGCTCTGCTGCAGGTCGATCCAGCATGACAGCCCACGGAAGCTTCGGCAACCAGGAATTGGGACGCCGCGACGACGGTGACACTCGCGTACTCTCGTTTTTAGAACTCCTACGTTTAACCGTTAGGATCGCGACCTCCGACAGGTCGGCTTCTGTGACGTCATTTGTTGCCACTTCGGGACCGCTTCCGGTGCATGGAAGGGATAGGACGCTAAGCACACTAGGCGGAGACGCGTTCCTGGCACCGTATAACGGAACAGAGGCCCTTATACGGACACCGGAAGTTCCATGCTTGTCCCGGAAGTCGGGCGTCAGCTGGGCTTCTTAGTGCGTTCAGTCGATGTTTAGGTCCACGCTTTCTTGCGTTTTAAAGTGGGCTTTCGACAAACCCCCTTTAGCATATTGAATTCCGAGAATGAGGCATACGAAAGAGGGACAAGCACACTTGATCAGCAAGAATCTCGAAACCCTCACACATCAAATAGCTCCTTAGAAGACTTCTCGGTTATGTAAACACCACAGTTGTTTCGCAACAAACAAATTCTTTTAAAGTAACAAGAAAAAAAATTCAGCGCCTTCGACATTGTTTGGACCAACGTTCAGAAGGGTTGAAAGCCCGCCACACGCTCACTTCCGGGACAAGCCGGTTACTTTCGGTGGCTTCTCATCTGTTTGCTCGATGCACCGCCGAGACCCATAGCGTAGATCAATGGCAGCGACGTGGCAGCGCAAAGTCACGTGATGTGGTCACAGCATTGGGTTGGCTGGATAGCTCGTAGCCTCCGCTGCCGACCATCGCAAGGTAAAACGAAGTAGATAGCGACGATCGTCCGACGTACGCTCACGCGTGTTGTTTGCGCCCGACCGCCTTGTCGGCCTCCTATCGTGTATACACCGATAAAACGTTCCGAGTTTAAATGATAAACGGCGTATAAAGTAGAGGGATCGAGCCGAGCGTTTGGCAGACAGAGCTGATAGCTCGACCAATTAGATTTGAACGTCAAAGGCGAATGCCCATTGAGTCTTACTGTTGTCGCTAGCTGTTTGCGAGCAGAGGGGCGCGGGTGTGTGGGCACGTACTCCATTCTTCAAGTGTTCGACACACACTCGATTTTGAGTGTGTTATGAAAGGTCGTAACTATAGTTGAGGAAGTAATGGGTTAATGTTACCGATGAATTGATCATGACGCGTTAGTCAACGGTTAATTTTGAGTCGATTGATCGGCGGCTTGCCACGCGCAATATCTACGCCGCTGGGAAACTCGATCATCAATAATTTAATCGTCGGTGAGACTTTTTGTCCGGAATTCCATTATTTCCAGGTACAGCACCGCGAACGTAGTGTACCCCCCCGAAACTTGATAGCTGCTATACTTTGTAAAGAAGTTGGAATTTGCATTATTAACGATTCTACCAGAATGCGAATTTCACCGACCAAGTAATTACTGAATCGACTAAATTCCAGCAAGGTATTTGTTAGAATATTCAATAGGTATAAACTCCTAGTTGTAATTTGTTAATCATGATGAACAGATAAATTCCGAGATCGAGAAATACCGTGGACACACAAAGATAACAACGCAGAAAAACTAGGTAAAGAAAACAACAACGGAGCTATGTTCGAGAATTTGCTGTGTCTGGTGTTGTCCCGTGTGTGTGCCCTCTCTCAAGTATAATTTTTTTTTTGCTGCCTATTTTGCAAGTTTACTGTCAATACGACGGATAATCGCATTACGGCTAAGTGTGTAATACGACGGATAATCGCGTTACGGCTAAGTTTGGAACAGAACGGATAATTGCATCGCGACTAAGCGGGGAATACGAACAATTGTGACGAAATAAACCTTTAACTACGTATCTATAGTATACCTGACAGCTATATGTAAGACACGCCGGGGCACAGCTTATTGCGTTCGTTTCCTACTTGGCGACTTTTTTTTTTTTCGGCGCTCTTATTGATAAAGGCCGCAACGTCAATGACTGTGGAGCGATCATGCTCGGGAATCACCCCGCCCTGCGTTTCTTAAGTTGTCGGTGACCATATGCAGTGTGTGCGTATAAGACTACACACCAAGTTTCTATCAATCACCTTTTATCTAACGCCTTTGTCCATGGAAGAGAAGGCACTATGCACTCATTTAAAGCGGAGCATACACAGTAACGTTTATAAAGAGTTCCTAGATAGGCTCTCCATAGGATCGATTGATCTTGATTGATTGTGTATCGAGGGAAAAAAATGGCCTGTTTTGCACCTCGTAGGAGAGCCAGAGTTGCGCACCTGTTTTTCACGGGGCACCGCCCTGCTATTCGGCGAATTCGATCACCTGACGAACAAAAAGTGCAGTGCTGTACAGGAAAGCCTTCGCTATAGGCCGCTCTGCAACTCCGTTAGCCGCTAGCCGCTAACTACGAGCAGTACGACGGAGGCTTTAGAATATTGAAACAAATGTAGCGTGAACTCTGGCCCGAGATCTCCGAAACGTATAAGTTGACGGTCATATGGGCGTGGGAAGTACGTCTCGAGTCGTTTCTCGAAACCTGCCATCGGCCAAAGACGCCCCTTCAATTAGAAGCAGATAATCTATACTACAGACTTTCCTCAAGGAGCACCCTTCGCGAGAAGTGCTTCACGAGTTTCCTCAATGGCGCCCTATCCATCATCGTGACGCGCCAAAAACCGCTCTTCCCCTTCAAATATACCTCCGAACAAGACGAGGTACGTCTAAATAAACGTGTACCATGTGAAACAAAAAATAAGAAAAGTTTGGTTGATTAAAGTTTGATTTTGCGAATGCTAGGAAATTGAAAGCGAGCAGCCGCAGCCTGGCGGAGGAATAAGGGTGAAATATTCATCGGGCAGGTATATCGTTTCTATTCAAAACTAAGTTAATTGCGGAAAGGTTATATATGTATGCTTTTGTATTTATTTCTTTAAATTCATTCGTAGGCTCAGGAGTTGATGGTATGACAGAGGGGGGCTAAGTTAGAAAGTACAAAAAGTAAACAAAAGCAAGAAAACCATGAAACAAATCCTAGTAGTCCGGTTGCAGCATTCTTACGATCATCCATTGGATGGGGGAAGATTATTTCACTCAATAGACTTACGAGGTAAAAATGATTTAGAGTAGGTATTCGTGTTACACTGTGGAATCCCGAAATTATGTAGGTGATCGCTGCGTGATGATATGTATAGAATGTGCAAACATATGAGTCATTATTCCCTAATGCCACTGTTCACAACATTTTTCCCCCGAACTTTACCGATTGGACGCATGCGCCAGCCGAATGCTCACGCAGAGGCGCTCGGCTATGCCAGCCGAACGCTGCGTCAGAAAAAGAGATACAACAAAGACAAGAAAAAAAAAAAACAACAACACACATTTCCTGTTGTTGTCTTCCTCACCGGTTTAGTTCTCGACTAAGCCGCTAGGGGGCCGCGACCGGTCGGAGCTCCACTCCTTTCCAATACATGAGAGGCTGGGGAAGAGGTGAAGAGCTTACTTGCAGCTGCGGACGTTGTAGTAGAAGCCCGTGGAGCATTCGGCGTAGTCCTTGCACTTGCAGCGGCACTCCCGGTGGTCCCAGAAGACGCCCGGGTCCGTGCACTGCGCCATCTGGTTGGCGTTGCGGCAGATGCAGCGGCACTCCTGGTAGTCCTGCATGGCGTTGCAGTCGGACGGCTTCTCCTTGCACTCGCAGCCGCACTTGTCGTGCCGCTCCAGCGTCACGATCTCGTGGCCCATGAAGTTGAACTTGCTCGCGCCCTGCTCGGGGTACTGCGCCCGGATCACCTGCGGACGAGACGAGAACGAGCCGATCAATCGAGCGATCCACGCACATCCATTCCTTCTTTTAAAAGGAACGCGATGAAGGCTTTGTTTTACGGTGCTTCTTTCCAGCACGATACAGTTTAATGTTTTTATCCTCAAGGTATAGACGAAGCAAGGCAACCGGCCGCCGCCATGTCTCTGCTCGTGCGAGAGATCCCGTTCAATTTCAAGCTTGCCAAACTTTTGATGACGCGCATGCAGCACGCGTTTGCGCGGGGACACCAGTCGGGGCACCATGCTTGCAATTGTCTAGACAACTGCAAGCACGCCGTCTCTCTGGTGCCCCATGCGTGCAAGCATGTGCAGCGTGCGTGTGAACATAGCTTTGCCAAACTTGTAATCGGGCGCACTTGCCCGCACGAGCAGAGACATGGCGAGGGATGCCTTCCTTGCAATCATCTATACACCTATAGGGAGTATTCACTGGACGCCATATTTGTGGGTGCTATTTAGAGCGCATGCTCAGAACGAGCTCACATCAATAGGCTGCTAAGACCGGCACTCTTGATGGTGCGGAATGCACGTTGCAAAAGAACTGCGAAAGCTTGCCGTCAGCACGCGCTCAGCAGGCGCGCACAGATATATGGCCGCCAGTGAATACTCCCTACTGGTGACGTGCGCGATCAAAAGGGTCGGGGCGGTCGGCCTACCACGACTGGCCGAATGCTGACTATGACGTCAGCAAAGGAGTTCTCACAGACGAAATTAACAGGAACGTGAGGACTTCAATTTTGACGGTGTTGACCAAGTTGGTTCAAGAACGCTGATTTCAAGCTTCCGCCGTGCTAATTACAAACACCATCAAACTTGTTGTTCACAAGGTAATGACGTCACGAAAGGTAACCATACGAGGGCGCCACCGAACAATCTCGCCGCTAATAGGGGGTATCCATTGGACGCCATGTTTGAGGGCGCTGTTTAGAGCGCATGCACAGAACGCTATACGACCGGCGATCTTGATGGTCTGGAATGCATGCTGCAAAATAACTTTGAGCGCGTGCTGAAGCTCGGCTTCAGCACGCGCTCAACAGTCCTGCACACAGCTATGATCACCACTGAATACTCCCTATAAACTCTTATCACCGACACCACGTAGAATAATAGAACCCCGCTCGCTAGCATATTGACGTCATCGCAGTGAAATTGAGCGCAGAGACAAGATTGAACACCATGTGCGACGTTAGGGTTCGATTGGGCCTCACGTCCTGTCAATGCATGCATCGAATAAGGCTCGGTGTCGGGCCGTGGGCCCAATTGCTGGGTAGAGGGAGGGAAGGCTATTCACGGGCTCTGATTACTCTAGGTGATGTTATTATCACAAATGGGCGTAAAACGGCGACTGAACTGTGGACGCAAGCGCGGCACGTGATGACCTTAAGCTTCGACCGTGCTTCTTTTACACACCATCGAAAGTGCCAGTGGCAATGAATAATCCTAGTCAAGATGTCCATAATGCCCGAGTCCCACTAGGGCGACAAAGAGAAACAACCGACACCGACAAGCCACAAACACGTGCAGCGCGAACGCGAAGGTTCAGCCAGGCAAATGGAATAACTCGTGCCATAGCCTTCTCTATACTGACAAAGTCTACAAAGTCTGCCAAATAGCCACGAGACGCGGCCGCCGAAATTGAAAAGGTAGAGCGGCAGACAACGGATGAGTGGAGAGCCGGGTGACGGGCGCCCCGCAGTGGCGAGACGCTGAAACACACTTCTCCCGACATGGCCTCGAAGATCCCGAAACGCACGCGTCGGAGGCCGTGCTCCCGAGCGATGGGATGTCCGCTCGTGCTCCTCGCGTTCCTCGCGCTACCGCTTCTTTTTTCGTCGTTTCTGAAAACCATGTTTCGGGTCCTCGCCGCTGCAAAAGCCGTGCGCTGGCGACCAGGTTCCCCGAGAAATGTTCTTTGCAACTAGATCCTCGCGCTCCAAATCTGCGACCTGGCACTCTATGGCTCCGTCGTCGAACCGCCAAGCTTTGTGAGCATATGGCTATAATTGTGCTTACTTCCCGAGCACCGAGAAATTGCAGGACCGCCAAAGGTACCATCGCGTGCATGCTGCACGCGTTTGAGGCTTGTCGGCGTCGGTTGTTTCTGTTTGTCGCTCTAGTGGGAACTCGGGCACAAGAGGAAGCCACCGAAACATCCTGTCGTCGATACGAGTGACCCAGGAATGAGAGGCCGGTATGGCATACCTTGAAGGTGACGTTGGTAGCCTTGGTGGGCGCGCACTTGAGGATGCTACTGGGACAGCAGCCCCCGCACCTGGGCACCCTCGTGCACGGGGGCCACAGGATCACCGTCGGGTCCGTCGGCTTGGGGAACTCGACCAGCTGCTTACTTGGAATGCACGTTCCGGGCTCGGGGTTCGGCACCGCCGCTTGGGGGAAGCAAGGAAGGAACAGCGGGGAGAGACGCCACAGGGACTGCCGTCAGTGACAATGACGCCAGTGTACTGGGCGAAAGAGGCCGTTTACTTTTCCCCAGCGGCGAGAAAAAAAAAACAAAAAAACTGTTCAAACAGCTTGAATGGGCTTCAACTCTCTCTCTTTGCAGGTACACAGCAGTGGTGAAATGAGACTAAAACTGAACACAAGCAATTAAGTATTAGAAAGTACTTTCCTCATAGGAAGAAATCCGCGAGGCCATAATCAATGATGACAATTGCTTACATAAAAAGAAAGAAAAATAAGCCGAAGGTTGGACACAAGAAATTATATTATACAATGTAATTCCCTTCCCTCACAGGGGAAAACAAGAACATCACGAAAGCAACAAACAACATTGCCAATTGTTCATATTAAAATTGCGGTGGCTTAGCTCGGCTATGCTAGGATATACGTAGCGTGAGCTTATGTGCACAAAATCAGAGCCGCTATCAAGCGGCTCCGGTGCAGGGTCAGACTGGGCTACTGCACAACGGAGGCGCACACCTCGGCACGCGGCGGCGCCAGTGCGTCTGCCGCGGCCATGACGTCATTCCTCTGGAATGCGCTGACCGGCGCGCCTGCTGTGCGCTGTGTGACGTCACTGCTCCTCGCGCATGCCCAGCACGGCTCATTATGCGAGCCACGCGAAACTACTCAACCTCGGCCAGTGTAGCTCACGCTACAAAAGAACATAGTCCCGAAGCTCATATACACCACAAGGTTCTAAATCAATATTTAAAAGCATAAATGCATTTAATAGTGCAAGCAAAGTTCCCTGAAAAAATAAATAATTGTCGCGTAAATGCTTAGCGGATATTTCAAGCCGAGCTTCCAGAGGCTTGACTTATTTGGGGAAGCGATGGAAGGACTCTCTTCTGTTCTTCTACGGTGCTGATGAACGTTGACAAACGCACAATAGAGAGTTTTAGTAGATCGTTCCCATGACTCCCATAACGATATCCCGATACTCCGCCACCGCCTCTTTTGCGCATGCATAGTATCGTTATCGGGGCTATCGGAGGTATCGGAACGATCTAATAAAACTCTCTACTGTCTGGTTAACGCGGTTGCGTATGTAGAGAGTATTCACTGGCGGCCTTAGCTGTGTGCGCGAATGCTGAGCGCGTGCTGATGGCGAGCTTCCACAGTTCTTTTGCAACGCGCATTCCGCACAATCAAGAGTGCCGATCTTAGCAGCCTATTAATGGGAGCTCGCTCTGAGCATGCGCTCTAAACAGCACCCACAAATATGGCGTCCAGTGAATATTCCCTATAGACCTTTCCAAGAAAAGGGCTGCTGGCCGGTTCCATTTTCAGTGCTCGTGCGTACGGCGCGTGATTTGCTCGCTTTCCGATGCGATCAACATGCGCGTGCTGAATAAGGACTTGTAAATATTGAGAAAAAAAATTGGGGGGCTTTTATGTTTACACAGCCTAGAACTTGGTCTGCCTCAACGGGCGACGAGTCACTCGCTGTAGATGAGCAATTTAGCCAGTGCAGTGCAACCGCTAGCCTGGGGTCTTTAACGTGCACCACGCAGTCGTGGTACACGACCGCACGCCGGTACGATGCTCATCCAGGTCGAAACGGGTGTAACTATTGAAATGGTGTATAGGTTGCGCTCAGAGCAACTTGTATTTTCCCGCTAGGGGACGTCCGTTTTGCCAGGGGTCGCAAATACCCCTGCACAAGGAAATGTCGATCGGCGCATGCACGTGCACGTGGTGCCTTTGGCGTGCGCTCTTAGAATGCGACGATTGCACGGACGCAAGTCGGGGCAACGCCCGTCAGGAGCAGGAACTGCGCTCATGACTCCTCTGCGCGAACACTTGTATACTTCGTGCGGGCGATGCGGCATAACAGGGAGTTTTAGAATAGGCGGGCCAAGCATCCCAAGAACTTCCGCGCATGCGCAGTATGACGCCCCAAACCGCATGGAAGACCCAAACCGTCGGAGCCCCCTTTTCTAAAACTTTTTAATCAAAAGTTACAAAAAAAAAAAAAGTTAAAGCTGGAGTTACATTGCTCATACATTATACGAAAAGCAGACAGTTGTTTGTTTGCCCAATGTTACACGACCGCCGAACAAGGAACAAACAAACGTCAGGCAGTACGTGCAGACTGTCTTTTGCAGGATGCATGAGCAGCGTGACCCTGGCTTAAGGTCATTTAAGCGCGACCGTGGATGTCCGCGAAGATTGCAATGCCGTCTGCTAGGGAACGAGCTCACCTGCTCCAGCCGGCCCTTTTTTACCTGGGGGAATAAACGGAGAAAAGCTGGCGTCAGGCATTTCGTCAAAACGCTCAAAGAGCTCGCCAAGCTCGAGGAGCACTCACTCACCGAGTATGGACGGCGACTCCCCGAATCCGTCCATAGAGACGTCCTCTGCAAGTCCAAGCCAAATCAAACCGGCGAATTAATTGGATCGACCTATAGGCGTCACATGTAAGCGAAAATTGACGAAAACGAAACAGTACAGTTTCGTTTTCGTCCATGGTACACACACACTCTCTGTTGCCAGAAGTACGGAGACGAGAAACCGAGTGACCGTGCAATCGCGAAAAGGTGCGCTAAAGCCTGGCCGGCACACACGAAAAGCAGACTGTCCAGAGGTCAAGCTCTCTTCACTTCTGCCATCTCTTCATAGCAAGGCCGCCGCGGTGAAGGTTCGATGTCACCTACAGGAGGCGAACGCTGACGCGGCACTCCTGTCCAGCAGGCTGTGTCCCGCGTTGGCCTCTTTGAGGTGACGTCACAATTTTAGCACTTTGGCCTTGTTATCTAGAGGGCGCTGCTTTTTCTCTATTCTTTCACTCTCATTTTTAGCAGAGGAGGAAAGTAAAAAGATTTTTGGCTCTACAAAAAAAAAAAAATTTCCCTTCCTCCTCTACCTAATCATAGGCGGCAAATCTCGATTCGATTCGCTGCGGTCGCATCCACGCATATAAACGCCGCCTTTGTTCTGTTCTTGTCCTCTGCGCCTTTCTATTTAAGACCTCTTTCCAGTTTGACAGAGCAAACGTTGGAGAGGAGGCGACCTTCTCTCCAGCGCTCGCTCTGCTGAAGGGGGAAAGAGGTGGGAAGAGTTTCCCCTAAATTCTTAACCCCTCACCAACTATAAATAAATACACATGTCACTAATATATATATATATATATATATATATATATATATATATATATATATATACAAAATAAAATAATGTTTAGGTGTTCAATGTCACTTTAAGATAGCCATTTTATCGATGATCAATCTGACAATTATCGGCGAGGCTGCGGCGTACACGCTACGCTGGGATCTCACCGATCGTATCCGCACACAAGGTTCCTTTACAACTTCCCAATTAATTCTGGACTCAAATTGGCTGTCCCATGATGACAGCCCCCCGGCGCAACTATACAATTCACGGGGCTCAGGCTTTAGTAAGCAGAAAGCATGCGACAGTCGTGCGTGCAAGCAGAGGCAGATAAAGATAGCATGCATGCGAGAGTTGTAACTTACTGACAAACTGGGAAGCCCCCCGTTCAACGCATTTGGGAGGCAACCCAACAGGGGAACAACAAAACACTCGCGATAATGTAGCAATAAAAAGCGAAAGTATACGCCGTCTTTGCATTAACCTGGGAACGACATGAGAGGTAGGTATCTTGCGAAAGAACAGGTTTACTCAATAAATAATACGTAAACAAAAACAACAACAACAACAACAACAACAACGTATACACCAGCACGCGGCCCTGACGTCACCATACTGCGGTGGCGCTGCTATCGGTACTGCGCATGCGTAGACGGTTCGCCGTCCTCCAATCCGGTATATCTGCGCACGCGTGCTACCCACATTTGTATACAGCGCGTGCAGGCATGAAGCTCAGGATGGCAGCTTACTCATTTATTGTTTATTTATCGCGCTCGCGCTCCTCGTTTCGCGATTCGTTCTGAGCAGTGTTCTTAATCAACTTATGGCCCAACCTGATTGGTTCTTGAGCGATAACAAGCTCAAGAACGTTTTTTTAAGCTCTCAGTGTAGTTCTACTTTTCACTACATACTTCCACGACACTATAAACTCTGTCTAGTGCTTATGGAAAGGATATCCTCCCCAAAGATTTTTCCAAAAAAACAAAGCCGCAATACGTTTTTTTGTTTAATTTTTAAGAACTTTTTTTATTATAGCAAAACGAAGATTTATAAGATCGAGCACAACCGCCATCTTGTTTTTAAACAAGATGGCCGTCCTTCGGCGCAAGTCGATTATACCGAAGCAGACTGTATAATAACAGCTAGTTCGATCAATTTCGCCTTTTCAGTATTTTGGCGCCCTATACTACCGAAATATCGCTGTCTGCAAACTCCGTTTAAGCCTTACCTACGATGAACCGCGGCGGACTTTACGGGTCGTCTCAGCCCGTCCGGCGCTGTGAAAGCAATCACGTGATTATACTACGAGCGGCGCTGCGCCTTTTTCCCGAAGGTCACGTGACATACATTCACGTGACATTGAATGGGCTTAGGCGACTCGTGGCTTCTTCCATGATCCATCGCGAAGGTGAAAGCGTCGCATGAGCACCTTGGGGTCGGGAATCTCAGGCACGCAGAACTCTTCGACGATTCTGGTCTCGTTCGGACGCCGCTTCGGTCGCATTTTAATTGCACGACAAACATCGATGAAGACTGGGATAGTGAAGGAATGCCCAAAGGATCCCACTGATTGTTTTGTTGTTGTTGCTTAATTTTAGTTATGTTTAGAGATGGCTATGCGTTCGCTCTTCTTTATGTGTAAGCTATCCAAAAGCAAGAAAAAGAAAGAGGGGGAGGACGGCGCGGCTTGATGTAACTCAAAATTAAAACGTTCTTCAGTTCCCTTTCCTAAAATATATTTAAAAGAGAAAGAGAGAAAAAAAATAGAGAAAGAGAAACGCGTGTGTGCTTTTTTGTCTCTTGGAACAAGGGCTAAAGAAAATGTTAAATTCTTAATCAAAATGATGAGATCTTTCAGTAGCCTGTAACTTGTATGTGATGCAATTAAAACCCTCGATTGATTGATTGGTTACTTTTTTTTTTAATATGGTTTTAGCGAGAAACGTTTTTAAGGCCTCGGGTCCTCGAGGAAAGCGTGAAGTGATGCCACGAAAAACCGCCGCGAAAAATCGTCACGATAAACTGTCCCGTGCCAAGAAACCGTCGCACGCCTGCTAAATTAAGGGGACGGTATCGACGTGACGTCATTAACGTGACAGTCGTCGATCGACACCAAGACGAGACATCGCGACATGTCACATGACATTGTGTCCGCGTCACGTTGGCTTAGCGCAATTCTAAAAACCCTGAAAATTCCGTCTTTCCCGGCTTTATCCGTAAAGTAATTCTTCACACTCCAAAAGAAGAAGAAAGACTGAAAAAAAAAAATAAACGGAATTAAAAGGAAGGAGGCGAAAGGTGCAAGATGCCACTGTTACTCCCAGCGGTAAAGCACACCCTTCTGTCAATAATAACACAATTTTTTTTATTTTTTTTTATGAGAGGGTGATGCGTTTGTGGCCAGCCATGGGTGAGGTGAACGTGCTGAAGACTTCCTCTTCGTCCTTAGGGTGGTGAACGGTGCAGGTTGTGAGGGAGTGGAATGGGAGAGAGGGGGGGGGGGGGGGGGAGGTGCAACGTGGGCATATACTACGTCGGGTGCTCAGGACTAATAAAAAAAAAAGATTTGTTTACGTCGCACATGTATACGTGACGTGATCATGACATTGACTTTGCCTATTTTGTTTAGGGTTAGAAAGGCACGTAATTATTACAGTCCATGTAATTAACATTACACAGTCGTAGTTACGTTATTTTCGAAATTTAGATAACCCAGAAAGCACAATACGAAATGTGTGTGAGCCGAGGTCTATGGAAGCGTTAAAAAAAATAACGTATACACGTTTTATATAATTTATGCAAGTTCTTATATGTTTATTTGGCAAATCACATGTGAACATTTTCTCTTTTCAATAGGGCCTATAACGCAGGCGACGGTGAGTAAGAAAATGCTAAGGCAGGCTAGACGCTTCGGCGATATTTGGGAATTCATTCATACGCCTCAAAATTGGTCACTTGACCTAGTAACCCAAATTACAAATCATAAAATTTTATTCATTTTAGACGTTATTGTATTTTAAAACTTGGTCTCAGAGCTGGAGAGGCCCTAATGGCAACACTAACGACGTGAGGTCAAATCCTGTAATGTATGGTGGGGTCAGTACCGCTTGTTCTCGACGGGTTACAGGCTTACTAGTGTAAAATAAAGGCAAAAAAAAAAAAAATCTCACGGGAGAAAGAAAAGAGGCACGAAATATTGTATATTTTAGTTGTTGTAATGATTAAACGATAAAAGAGGAAATGTCCGTGTATGTATTTTTTCGACTGACTGCTTGACTTAAAAGTTAAACAACACATGTCGTCATTCCACTAGAGAGCGCGAAAAAAAAATCTTTATTGGCCGTTTTTTCAACATCTCTTTTTGAATGTACACATGATAGCTAGCATGCCTGGGCGTTCCAAAACGTAGTGAATTTAGACAGCCAAAGAATAAAGTCAAAAATCGTTCAAGTATGCTACAATAATAAAAAAAAAAGAACAGAAAGCATTCAAGGTTGAGGCACCCGACGTAGTGTCCACGCTTTTAAAACGAACACAATGCAGTAAGGGGAGGAGGAGGAGGAGGTTAGGGCTGTTACCGTGACCCTCGTAGAGATAAGCGATATGCGGGGCAGCAGCGACCGGCGAGCCTTGGAACGCTTCCTCATACGTACGGTAGCCCTCGAGGAACTGGCTCACGAAGTCGGTCAGGTTCCGCACGTTGCGCATGCTGAACAGCAGCGATTCCGGGATCTGTGGGAGGACAGAACAGGCGACCCTTCTTAGAGGCTGACCGTGGGACGGCCCTTGTTGGCGAAGAAGCGAAGACGAATAGCGCTTCCGGCTATTCGTGATGAGATCAGCGAGCGTCCGCCGTTCTCACTTTCGCAGCTACACGCGTTCGTCACGTGACCTCGGTTTCGCTCGTCGCCTTAATATATACAAGAGGGCGCCCCTGACCGCGGTTAAGTGAGTCGTGTAACTAGGCCATAAATAAGCTAATTATGCTGCTCATCGCCACGAGAAGCGGCCGCCGAAATGGAAAACGTGGAGCGGAAGACAACGGATGAGAGGAGAGCCACGTGACTGGCGCCCCGCTGCGGCGAGACGCCGAAACGCAGCGTACAAGGACACAGCACGCCTCAGAAAGCGTCTGCATCCTGTTTTCTGTTTGTTGTGTTAGCAGTGAGACTCCGGATGAGGAGGTTTCACGTGTTGCACCCCTGTCAAACGGCGTTCAAACGATCCTTTTCACTAAGCTCGTTTATAAAATCGGCGAACCGGCACACGCTGTATAGGGCACGTGCGCACTCCATGCACATCGCGAGTTGATTGGCCGATTTTATAAAGGAGCTTAGTGAAAAGTACATTTTGAACGCCGTCTGACAGGGGTATAAGAAGAGGCGCATACTACACTCTAAGAAAAAATGGAGGAAAAAAGTAGCAACGGCGCGCCTTCCTCCCTTCTACCGACGCGCCCCCAAGCGGACACGAGAAAAGGGGAGGAACGAAATGTTTTTCTCCTTCTCCAGGCAGACGGGAGAAAGCTTTCGCCCTCCCGAATCATTGTCTTTCGGTTTCGTTTTTCGAGCAGGTCGCGCACGTTGTTTAATAAATAGCTGTTGAGTTGATTGAGCTTCAGCAGCAGCGAAGGCCGCCTGTAATTGCGTCTTCTAGTTTAAACGTAAAGAACATTTCGGTTGCATTGACGTTTTTATCACTAATTTTATCAAACGAGCTAACGAAGCCGCCAGAAACAGCGAAGTTCCGGAGCAGTGCCAGCAGCGCCACGTACACTGGGGATGGCCGTCTCCGGATTGCGTGACTCGCGCGGCACGGAACTACAGCTGCTACAGCCACCGCAGGCCGCAGCACTACAGACTACAGTAGCGAAAGCACGCGGAACTGTGTCGACGTTCTCGACGTTACGGAAACTGCAGGAACTGCGTCCAAGACAGGCAGGTTTTGCTGCCGGCTGCCTGGGTGCCTTCCCCCCTGAGTTCGGTTCTGTTTTCCGATGCCGAGTGCAACCGGCGTTCAACGTGGTTCTGGGTTTGTGCGTGTCAGCAACATAGCTGCAACATCGTGATGACAGTGTTGGGTTGTGAACAGAAGACTGGAATTAACGCCGATGTGACCATGTGTTCGCGTATCAGTGGTGTAACAAGAAAATGAGATCGTAAACTGTTGGGCATTGATGCCGCTGGTCGGGTTGTGATTGGAGGGGGTGGGGTGTCGCAGGTTGACATTCCGCTTTACATTAAAAAGCTTAATACCACTTGAGGGATTACGTGCAATCGATCAACGTGCGGATAGTCATGTTGAAACGCTGGTCTGAACAGTAGAAGCTCCTATCGTACAGTGGCCAATGTGACTGTCGAAATTGTCTCGTCCCCGACAGCGATTGCGCTCAGGGGCAAGGACTGAACAGTACGAAATCGTGACGCAAAGTACGTATATTTACAGTATGTAATTTCGGCATTAAAACAATAGTAGGTAAAATCGAAAAAAAAAAAAGCCCCCCTTTATTTTGCTGTTTAATTATACTACGGTTGCTGGAGAAACTGCGGTCCGTGGCGCGCTGGGGTGAGCGCTAGAAGTTTTCGGGCTCGCCACGGCGTAGTTCCGTACACTTAACACCTGCCGCAAGTCGCGGCTTTGATTGTATTCAAGTTGATCGAAAAGCAATTTCTCAGTCCGTGAAGCATCACTTCCAGCTGACTGAATATCCGCTCTACAGAGATTAATTCAAACGGCAATTGCAGCTTTGCGCGAACAGCACAAATAGAAAAACAAATAGAAATACAAGCTACGACGTGCCGTGTGGGGAAACAAACTCATGGCTTCGAACCGCATTGGAGCGGCTTAATTTATTGGCTTTCCAATAATTACGGCATGATTGAGCGTTTACTTTTTAATAAGAGATTCAACCCCTGAGCCATTCAAAATACTCTCAGAGGTATGACATTGCAGGGAAAAAATCAACATGCTGGGAATATTTTTTATTGCTTAGGGAGTCACCGAAAAGTTCCGCACGTTCAAAACGACCAGTATAAAAGACGGAAACGCAGAGGACGGGTGTAGTGTTCGGGTAAGTGTGGTGTTCCGTTGTATTGATATTTGTGTGTGCAGTGCATGTGCTCAATGTATGATCACCTGATGCTTGTAATAAGTGTATGGGTGTCATGTGTGTATAGTAGAGGGTCTTCAAGCGCAGTAGTGGCCTGAGAAAAGCAAATTATTTTTTGTAGAACATGAATTGGGCGGTACCTAGCGCTACCTAGCCTAGCTAATTGCAACTACTTTGCTTGACCCCGCCATCTGGTGGCTAGCAATTTAACCTTCTTTCACGCTAAGCGATAAACAGTGGCTTCGAGTTCGTTCTTTCGAGAGCGACTTTTGGTTTCGGGGATAGTGTTTGCCCTTCTCCGTGATGTGCGGTTGACGAAGGAATTGTGATTCTAGGAACACCAAAGGTAAGACGCAAAGTGCGCGAAGTAACTGGGTATCGGTTGTCTCCGTTTAACATCGCAGTGCTGTCTACGAGAAGACTGAGTAACTGCTTTCGAAACGCAGGTTTCTGTACCTGTGGGGGGAATCTGGCTTCGGAAATAAACACAGTTTGCGGAAAGCTCGTGTTACGCTTTCATTTGCTGCTGCTCTCGTCCCGTATAAGAGACGTAGCGTCCTCGTCAAGCCTTATTGGACTCGATTTGCTCGATTCGGGGTTCGCCATATTGAAATGCAAGTGACGGAGGAACTTTGCTCCCCTGCTTCAGGGACGAAGGTTTCTCCCTTTCTAAAGGAACATAGGTTACAAGACCGTTCCTCCCGTAAGGGAGGACTATCCGTACCCTTTTTTCTAAGAGTGTACGACGCCCTTTGTTTGCGAAGAAGCCAAGATATGCGGAGCGAAGTTCGTCTGCTTCTCTCTGCGGGGAGTTGTGGTGACGTGACTGACGCAAGAACGCCGAGCTCCGATTGACTCTGCTCGAAGGATAGTGGGTAGACCTCGAGGCAGTCTGCTTTTGAAGTCTATCCACTATCCTTTCTATCGGAGCCAATCAGAGCTCGGCGTCGTTCTGACGTCACCACGACCCCAGAAAAAGAGGCAGACGAACTTGCGAACTATCGCGACCGCGGGTGTTCGTCGCGTGCACTCGATTTCGTTTCGACCGTCGCGCCCCTAGCGGCTGAGTCGAGAACTAGACCCACAAAGGACAACAACAACAAACGACGCGAATGATTTATTTGCGTCCTTGTCGCAACGTGGAGGCATGGCAGCATTCGGACGCGTTCAATCGGAGAAGCAGCGATCGAACGTGAATCCCCTGGCGAACGCTGACGCGGCACCCTGCGCGCGCTCCTTCGGCGTTCGGGTGAACCCTGCGCGGGAAGCAGACGACGCTCTCGTTTGTTCCGATTGGAGGGAGACAATGGGTGGAGGCGAAGGCGGCTAACGTTTGCGCCTACCCCCTAATCCTTCCAATCAGATCGCTCGGCGCTCTGACGTAACCGCACGCTTTCACCTCCTTCTCCTTCAGTTTCCCTCCGTATTATTTTTCAAATCAAAGACGAATTTCTGTACCCCGCCAATTGGCAAACGGCAGAAAGATGGGGCTCCAGCGAGCCAATCAGGGCGCCGGAGCGAGGCACGTGACAACGTCCCTCGGCGTCCCCTCCTCCCGTGGAGAGAGTTGTCAAGTGTTCGTTCCGTTCCTTTTCTTGCTTGCTATAAAATAGCGCCCAGTCGTGACAGTAATTCGTGATTATGTCAAAAATATGTAAGTTCTTTTATTGCACTTTTTTAAAATTATTTTACCTTTTTAAGACTATGCGGGCTTATCACAACCTCTCAAACGTGATTAAGGATCGGGACACGACTCTTTGGGTGCGAAAAAGGGGACGGTTCGGGATCTTTTATCACGTTTTTAATAAAGAAACTTTTTTTTTTGTTATTACGACTCTAGACCATGTATGTTTAGCTATCAATATAAAATAAAATCAAGAAAAATATACACTTTAGACCCCTTTAATGGTCACCCCCCTCCCCACCCCTCCCCACCAAAAAATAAGTAAAACGGCGTTCTATTTTTTGTAACGCGTTACCCACAAGACTGTTTTTACGTCAGCGAGATGCGTTGGCTGTATCGGCCACAAAGAAGAAGGAAGCGAAATAACAATCGATACGTATACGCGCAAGATGGAAAGAAACAAGAAAGACTGGACTTGCATAAGAGATGTCGAACGCCGTACGTGTGCTGGCTTTGAAAGCGCGCACGCCCTCTCCAAGTGAGCTGCACTTTGCGAGTCAAAGGGCAACCAGGAAGTGCCACCGGGCTTTCTCGAAGGCCTGACCTGTCCATGAATACCGTTCAGAAATTCCTTAAAACCGTGACGTAAAACAAAAGTGATGGGAAGAGATCGAAGTAGAAGGTACCAAAATAGGTACTACAATAGTAAAGATGTGCGAATAATGGCTTGAATAGAATAGTGCTGCGTCATTCATAGCCTTGACGGTGCTAGGGAAACCCATGCTTTCTTCAACAGTCTTGAAACTAGTAATGAGGCTGCGGTAGTCGATTCGAAGCAGCATTCGCACTCCTCTGTAAAGTTGTGAAGTGCGTAAGCTGCTGGACTATAATTGATGGATCGTACTGCCATGTAACACGTACATTGTAACATAAAAAAAAAAAAAAAATTCACTGGTCAGATGATATTGTTTTCAACCGTCGTCAGATAGTAACAAAAAG